TGGGGAGGAGATAGAGAAAACTGGAAGTAAAATCAAGCCCTGGAAGAAGGGAGAGGTGAGGCTGGGGAAAGGTGTTTTAAGTTGAATCTATTTTGCCCATGATGGCAACTGCTGAGTGATCTGTCCCTGCCCTTATCTCATCCAAAGAGCCTTTTGTTATATTTTTTCTCCCCTGCCCAGATAAGGAGGGCAGTGATAGAGCACCTTGGGTGGGCACATGGCATCCAGCCAGTGTCAACCCACCACACTCACAGAGGTCATGGTAGGACACACTGGAGGAGATTCTGAAATATCATCTCTACACATAGCTTTTATGGAAATTCTACCAGGTTGCTTTATATTCTGTATTTATCTTTTTCAATTTTAATTGGAAAAATGGTAGTTGAAAGAGCAAGTATAACAATAGAATAATACATTTTTTTAGTCTGCAAATCATAGCTGTAATCATCATTGTTAAGTCCCACTACTGTAATTAGTGAGTGGTACAGATTTTAAAAACTTAGCTAAATGAGAATTTAAACAAAATCATTTTCACAAAGTGCAAATAAAACTCATATCTTGTGAGTCGAAATGTACAATTTTATTAATGTAACTTGTTTAAATATATATGTATATCACATAGAGAAGAAAGTACAGTGATATGACTTGGAAATACTAAATTCTGTTTTGCCTTGGAGGGATTCAGGTTTTTTTGTTTTACAACATGTGGCATATCTTCTATAAAAGTATAATCTCACATGATCTGAGTTTGTTTGGTCATGACTGAATTTGTTTGGTATTTCCAAAGTTTCCAAGTTTTTTATGAAAAATTGCAGAAGTTATCTACACTATATGAATGTACCCCAGCACCTCTGTTAGTGGGTTTAATGATACCAAGTTGCTGAATAACGCTGAGACCTTGCAGTTCATCAGCAACTTAGTGTAAGCTATACCTGTGTATGCTCTTTCATTACAGTAATTATTCTGGAATGGTAATAAATACAGGGTAAAAATCTTGATGTAGATGCTTCTCAGATGAGACACTGAAAGAGCTCAGGAAGAGCGATGTGTAACTTCCGTGGGTCCTACTAGGCAACTTCTGGATTATGAAGCTTGTCCTCAAGGGATTGGTTTATTTGAGTTTAATGACTCATAAACGTGTGGATCGTCTTTAGTGGGGTTTTTTTGTGAACCAACGTTGTTTGATCCTGAAAAATGAAAGGGAATGCTTTAAGTATCCTCCCACATTCTGAAAACCAAAAAATATATTAAATCACTTAAAGAGGGACTGGAAAGATAAGTGCTGTGACTATATTGCAAAGATAACTGTTCTGTGTGTCTTCCTGCACCGACTATAAAATGACCCTATCGACAACTGCAGCCCACATAATGTGGTTCAGGGGTGGATGAATTACATTGTTTTCTGACAGTTTATCTTCAGGTGATCTTTTTTTTTATCCCTATTTATATGTTTGCTTTTCCCAGACATTGACAAAAAAAGTGGTCTTGACTTCAAAACACATGAGTAGGGTTTGAGGCAAAAGGACATGTTGCTATTGTCCTTCACCTCAATTGTCACTCTACAAAGGATGTTTCTGTTCCTCTTGTTTGTTTTCTTGCATCGACACACCTCCTCACCAGCACCACTATTCTCCTGGCCTCTCCTGGCACTGTGTTCATGCTTTCCTAATTAAAACTCTTTACATACACAAGTGGTGAAAGAGTCCATCTTTACCCAGCAGCTCAATAAATCATCAAGTAGACTTCAATTTACATATAAAATACCACGAAAGATGATAAGAGACTGCAGTGAACTTGTTCAATACAAGTCATAAGGCTTCTTCTACATAAATAAAAACAAAGAAATCAGCAAAAGGTTTTGATATTCCTAACAGACAGGCATTCAATGGAAGCTTGCATAGTCATCCAGAGGTTCTGGAAGCCGAATGCACGATGAAAGATGATTCAGAAAATAAAATGTAATGCAGGGCTTTGTATTCAGCAGGGAAAATCAATGACAGGTGAGGGAAGTGAAAGCTTCGGGGACTTGCCCTGACCTGAACTTCTTTGACTTATATATGACATGGTTTAAGTAACTTCTGTTTCAGAAGACCTAATTTGCACTACACATATAGCAGATAAGCATCAGGGCTAGTGCGGGTGCAAATGTGTAATCCATACCAGATCATCCATGTAAAGAGGAAAACTCTGGTACATGAAAGCTATTTTGAAAGAAATGTTCCTTAAGGAGGACAGTATCTGACAGAGTACTTCTTATAGATAATATTACCTTTTCTACTACACGTGTGGACACATTGTACCTTCAATAAGCAGCTGCTGTGGTTTTTTTCAGGCAGAAATATTAGCCTAAGCTTGCAAGGGACTAACATGGTGCTATGTCAAATGATGCCCATAAACTGGAAACTACTTATGCAGAACTCTGGACAGAATTTTCATGTTTTCAAGTTTCTACCCAAGGTCTAGCTGCTAAAATTGTATGCAAATTTTGAAAGTCAAGTTTAAAAAGTCCTTTACTTACTGTACTGTCCTTACTTTTTAATGTAACCCTATAAAGTATGGACTGCTTTTACCTGATGCAGTGAGGTCTATACAAAAGGACAAGAGCATTCACAAAACAGGACTGCAGCAAATAGTAGGGCAGAAAGATTACTGATCCCACATCTCCACCAAGACACCAGATTAAATTCCTGTTTTGAGGAATTTAAAATTCTGGGTGACAGAAGAGAGGCAGGAGGCTGGACATCTCTTGCATGTATGTTTTGTTCATATAAACTGCTTCCTCCTTGATCTGCCATTTTTTTTTGAGTTTTTAACCTGGGTTTTTTGGCAGGAAAATTATGATATTTGTAGCTCCATAACAAAATTTCATACAGAGTGTGCCATAAATACATAAACTAGTTTTATTAGTGTTTTAGTTTCATGTCCAATAATGATGATGTAAATCTTCACATAGATCTGAGTGGACCAACATGGATTTGAAATGCTGCCTTTAGTTTCCTGGAGACTAAGAGGCATTTATTTCTATGCTGGTTAGATGCATTGTTCAGCTGAAGACTTTCTTTAATTCCATATGGATGTATTTGGATATTGTTATTTTAATTTTTGAAGGAAGTGGGTCTTCTGAAGAATAAGGTCCAGTTAGTTTTCAAGTACTAGGTTGGTAAGATGGTGCAATGCAGCTCACTTTGAGTCAGAGCTTTAAGGAAAGTAAAATGCCTTTCACACAGGTAGTCCAGTTAAAAAAAAAATCCCTTGGTGCTATGTCTTTTAGCAAGGAGTACCTAAAGGTTCATGGTAACCATACACAGATCATCTGAGATGCAAATCTGATTGCATGTACCTGGTTAAACATAATCTTACTAACATAATTTTTACAAAACACCACCACGAGAGAAATATACATGCCATTTGGCTTACAGAATATGTTAGGTATTTGACTAAACAAAAATATCCTGTGGAATATATGGTCTTCTAAGTGTGCCGATTGTCTGTGTGTATGATTTTCGTCATCCATCTCCCAGGAGATGCTGCTCTGGTTCTGATCTCAGCCCTGTAACCGTAGGTGCTCCGGGCACAAAGTTTGGAGTTTCTGTCAAACTGGATTGGATGGAACTTCGTTTGCAAATTAGGACTTTGGGTTACTCTTTCTTGCCTTTCAAATACGAATTTGAAAATGATAAAATCTCAAATCATGATGGGGATATACATTTTAATTTTATAATGGCAATATGTAAACTTCAGAGGAAAGGGCTTTATCTCTCTTTTATCTATCTCATGTACCTCTTTTATCCTTTCCTATCATTAACAAAGACCAGTTTAGCAGATACTTCTTCTATCATCTGGTTAAGCAGAGAGAAGCATTTCTTTTTCAAGGTCTTTGAGAAGTTAAGACGTTCAGAATTAAGATTAATTGGCCCATCCGGCTACAATAAAGAAGTTAAGAAACAGTAAGAGACAAACTTGTTTATGGAGGGAAACAAAACATCTTGGAAAACATTAGTACACCTGAATTAGCACAAACACTAAACAGGATTCTGTGCTTTATTTGAGCAAGAAACACCATGTTTAAAAACAGGATAGTGAATTGTGGTTGAAAATTAAGGACAATACTTCCATCCCTTCTGCTGCACAGGCTTGCACATGGTCCGTCTTTCCTCCTGCCTGTGCTGGCATGGCAGTATGAGTGGGTGTAACAGCACGGAGAGGATGTGAGTGGCATTGATCTGGCACACTGTGCATGCGAGGCACACACAACTGCTGCTATTTTATTTCACCACTACACCAACAGAAATGGCCCTTCTATAAGCGCTTCTGGCGAAGGATTTTGCAGTCAGGGGTGCAGCATGCATTAGTGCAAACCTAATGCATTCCATGACCTGCAGATTTCATAACCTGTTAAGAGCGGCATTGCAGCACAGCAATCTTATTTCTCTACGGCTTCTTTTAGTTCGCCGGTGGGAAGGAAAGCTACGTGTTGAGTTTTTTATTATTATTTGTGCAGCCATGTTCGAGCATTTGTCAGCCTCTTTCCCATCGCTGATTTGTCTTGTTCATTCTCTGCCCCCCACACCCTTCTCCCCAAATTCACGGCGAGAGAGGAATTCCTGAACTCCGACGGTTCGGGAGCTGCCAGGAATGTTGCGGCATGGCGGGCCGCCTCGCTGCGGGCTGAGCATCCCTCCCCTCCGGATCGGGATGCGGTTTCTCCATCCGTGTAGTTGTCCCCCGCGGAGCCAGGTCCTCCTGCTCCAAGGGCTCAGGAAACTCCCAGTGCCTTTGCCGGGAACTCGCGAGAATCCCGCCGTCTTGGGCCGGCCTCGGGGGTCGCTCCCTGCGGGAAGGGATCGCCCGGGGCTCGGAGGGGACGGGCAGGATCCGAGGGCGGTGCGATCCCCACCCGGGGCGGTCCCAGCCCCGCCCTGGTCCCGCCCCGTCGCCCCACCGGGCTGGAGAACCGCGGGGAGGGGGAAGAGGAGGAGGGGAGAGGGAGGGAAGAAAGGAAATAAGTAAGGAAGGAGAGAAAGAGGGAGGAAGGTGAGGTGTTGTCGCCGTTGGCTCACCGCTCCGCGCTCTGCAGCCGGTGCGGAGGAGGGGACAGCCCCCGTCAGGCGTCCCGGCATGCTGAAAGTCACCATGCCCTCCTCATCCTCCTCGTCCTCCTCGTCCTCGTCCTCCGGCTCCTCGGCCGGCGGCCGCCCCGGCTCCGCCGCGCCCGACTACTGGATCGATGGCTCCAACAAGGACACCCTGGCTCACTATTTCGAGCTGGAGTCCGAGCTGGGACGGTGAGGCGTCGCCGGGGGGAGCGGGGATGACGGGGGTGGGTCTCGCTCCCCGTCGCTATGGCGAGAGCGGCAAAACTTTGGTTTTCGTGAGCGGCAGCGCAGGAGCAAGCGGGATTTCGCGGCGTGTGGGCTTTCGAAGAAAAATTGCAGCCCTCCTCCCACTCCCGGGAGCCAAGCCGTGCAAATTCCCTGAAGCAGGGAGTGATTTATAGGTCAAGGCATGGGTCCGTCTGGGTGGACGCTGACCGGAGTGGGAAGCTTTTCGTTATTCAGGGCACCTGTGTGGGCTGGCAGCATCCAGTCACCGCACGGTGTGGGATAGAGAGTGGGCATCACTTGGAGAGCACCGAAACGCCACCTTTTCACAGCATCCCTTCATCCCAAACCTGCTGTCGTTCTGTCGCCATTATCGGCACCGGTAGACCCTGCGCTGACAAAACTCCCACCCAAAACAAGAGTCCCTGGATAGGCCCAGCAGAGCCCTCCCTTTGGAGCACGGTGCAGGTGAATGAGCTGGTACATCTTCATTCATTAATTTTATGCTACTGCCCTGGTAATGATCCTGCCCAGCAACTTAAAGGTCCCATATCTTCATGTTTTTTTTGAAAACTGAAGTCTGCTGTAAAATGCTGTAGTTAGTGTGCAATTTTTGCCCTCTAAATGCAGTTGTTGGTACATGTTGAATTTGTGGATAGAAAATAATGTGTGAAAAGGGAAAATTACAGCTATTTTTAAGGGTTCATAGCACTTGACTTAAATATCCAAGTCAGTAGGTAGCAAATAGCAATTGTTAATTTTGCTGATTGTTAATTTTGCCAATTTAATATCAAGATCCTGCATTACTATGGGAAACGTGCAGATAATAACATGGTTGCCTTGGTATATTATTTTTTCAGAAAGGGCATGCAATGAAAGTTATTCCTAAAAAGCATATCTGTGCTTGCTGTACTGCATCTAATAGGCGCAGGAAAGGTGGTAGAAATACAATGTAGTATCATTCTTGGCTTGCTGGCCAGGTCTTAAGCACCTGCTGCTACTTTTTTTGCTACTATTGCTACTATTCCCATTTAAATAGGTATAGTTTTATGTTTGCTTACCACATTTATACTTGACTTCACTGTACACCTATGCAGAAGCATTAAAATGTAAAGCAGGAAATCTAAAGCCAGCACTCAGTTTTGTGTCCAAAATTGATAATAATAATAAAAAAAAGAAATAAAAGGAAAAAAGTATGCTGCTGAATTACAGCAGTTGATACCACTCTGTCACCTGGATTAGTACTGTTCTGTGCGGTCTGTCTAGAATCCTCTCACCATATGTGATAGTGACAGTGGGCTTTACCTAAGAGTAATCTGTATTGGTGATACATCCTGGGTTTATTGTGTAGCTTAGGAAGGGGTTTTAAAGTGTGAACTCTTCAGTCTGAGGAAGGAGGAATGAATGCTTATAAAAGTATTACAGTAAGGCTGAGGTGCAGTGGATTTTTCTACTTTGCAAGGTAAGACAGATGCTGAAACACTTAACAAAAGGCTTGAATGTGGAAGATAACCACACCCAACTCGTGTAGGGATGTGAGCTACGAGATCTGCACTGCTGCTGGATAGAACTAGGAAATAGATTTAGAACAAAAGCAGAGAGAATACAGGAGATAACCACCACCTTAATTGAAGACTAAGAGGTAGGGAAGGGAGAGAAAAGAACTTGGAGGGGTACATGATCTGAGGGAAAATTGCTCTAACAAGTTTGGCAGTGAGCTCTCAGTCCTTAGGTCCCAAGGCTGGCTTTGAGATCTTTTCAGAGCCAGCATCCAGAGTGCTGATGATTATCTCAGACCCCCTCTGACAGGTGTACCTTGGCAAATCTATAAGGGAGACTCAACAATCCCTCTTGGTTCCTAAGTGTAATATAAAAGTGTATTGTTTTGTCTTGGTAACCCTGTCTCCAACCTTCTAGTTTTGGAGATAATTTCAATTGTATACACAAAAAAAACTCCTTGCTTAGGCTAGTGGTGGTGAAAGTATATCAGGTGAGGCTGAAATTATGGGTATGTGATCCCTTTAGATGCAGTAAATAAAAATAATATACTAAAATAACCAACAGGAAACACTGTCCTACAATATCTTTAACAAATACAGGATGTCTTTTGTCACACTGCAAAGACCTGCATTTGGACACCTGTGGCCAAGCATGGGAATTCCCCTTTGGAAGGAGTGCCCTTTGTGCAAAGTGTGCTTGGCAGATCCCTAAACCATAGTATTCAATAATTCTTGCTTGCGTGACCAACTAAGGAGTAGTGGAAGAAGAGGTGGAAGATCCTGCTAGGAAAAATAATAAATGCCTGAAAGCTTGCGTAGGTGTAAACAGTTGTCTTTAAGCAGTGGACTTTCACAGGAATCAGTTCAGGTGTATGTGCTGCTCAATATACTCCATAAATGAAGGGGTTGAACAGTAATATTTGCTGGTCTTTGCAAATTGTCAAGGGTTTAAAAGACAGCATTGCCTACGAAGAATTGCAGAAAGACCTTATTGGACTGTTAGGGCATTTAAATGGTGGATGAAATTCAATTTAGATAAATAAAGAGGTTGTGCAGGAGAAACCATTTTGTTGTTTTCTCTCATTAGTAAATCGTATTGTGAGGTTAAGACAGACATATCTGGAGATGTGTGGCATGGATGGAACACCTTGTTAAAAGAGCTTGATCACTTGTTTTATTTTTTTTAATGCAAGCTCTGTGGGGTGTCTAATAAAAAATGGGTTATCAAGTCAAAAATGAGTGACAGGAGGTAAGGCCATGTCAGCACAGTGTGTCATTAAGGAGTGGAAGTCCTAGCCACTGGACACTATGGATGCTAAAAGCTTATGTGGACTTCATGGGCAACAAGGCAAGTTTACATGCAGGAAATCCACTAAGATTGATCAAACATGAAGATACTACTGAACTGTAAGCTGTTGAGTGTTATGAGGGTATTCTTTGACAGTGATGACAGGGGTTTGCCCTATTTCTACATTCTTCTTGAAGTGTCTGTGTTTGGCCACTGTTAGAGACAGTACTCTGGGCTAGACCAGCTTTTATTCTCATTCTTTTATTCTGTTTTTAGGTTCTACTAGTGCCTGGCTAGTTCATCTTCATTTTAGTCCATTTCTTACAAGGGTTTTTGTGTATAACTGGAGTTCAAAATGCTGTAAAGATGGAATTTTGTGTTTTGTTTTACAAAAAGTCTTTTTTTGACAAGTTGCAACATTGGTCTATTGTAGAGTTTGGAATTCTGTTCTGTGTGTATTTCATCTAAAAGCTTATTTTCCACACTTCCTTGGAAAAAGATTCTGAAAATTTTGTATTCTAAACTTGTATTTTCTTTAAAAACTAAACCCTTTTGCTAGTCTTACGTTACCCATGCTGTATCTTCTTGTTCAGAGTTTCTGAATTCAGGATTAGTCTGAATATGGTATTTGAGTGAAGAGGAAGTTCAGTTATGATTTTTTTGATACTTAGCAATATGGCAAAAAAAAAAAGGAATTTCTCCTTGTTGGGATTTTAGGTATGGAATTTTACTTAGCATGCACCCTCTTTGCCTAACTAACTACATAAGTATTTGAGTATTGCAGATCTGGTACATGGCCAAAGGCAGATGAAAGTATTTCCAATCAAATCCTTAGGGCTTTCTTTAAATATCAAAGGTTAAACTAATAACAATTAAAAAGAAACTGAAACAAAAACCTAACAGAAGTCGCAGGCACTTTTCTTCTTGTAAGAATGGTAAATCTTCCAAGGTTACCTTTTCCTGCATGGGCAGTGTTTCAGCTGTGTGATCCTTGTTGAAGACATGAAAGGTACTCAGTACTTGGCAACTTAACCTTAAACTGACAGTGTGAGCTGAATCATAGGTGGTTTATGTCCTTGAGTTTTTAGCATAGAGAGAGTTTAAATTCAATGTGTGGCTTGAACTCAAGATTTCAGTGTACCAAGTGACGTCTTACTCTGCCAGTCCTGTTTATCAGAGCTGTCATCCTGGCATCTACTTTTGTAATGGCAGTAGTAGATGAATTCAGCTAATTCTTTGTTAGCTGATTTAAACTAGCAAAGCTAAAACTTGGTTGTTAAGCTGATAAAAGCATTATAGAAATGGATTGGGTTTGCACTTGATGCTTTGAAGTTCAAACAGTTTTTGCTTTGAAAGCATGCCAACTCTTTTCTCCTCCATTTCTTCATTAAAAAAGACAAAGGTTTCTTTTTCTGTTCATCTCAAGAGTCATTTGTTTTATAGACTGTTTGCCATGTTTATTTTGAAAATCACTTGCTCCTATTGCTTTGGTGTGCATTTAAAGCAGGTCTGTCCTGCCTTCAATAGCACTTTAGCTTCCTTGCTTGGGACTTTTTGCACTGGACTTTCCAAAGTGATGCAAGCATGCAACTGACAGTACATGGTGCTAGTGCTTAGCTGGATCAGGATGAGAATTATCTTTGAGCAGAAACTGCCTGTGTGGATTTGCCTGTTTTCCAGATGACATTCTGCCAGTAATGGCAACTTGCTTGCTACCTTCACACCTTCAGGCAAGCACCAAGAATTTTCATTCAGGCAGTTCCTGCCCATAGGAAAGGTTTTTGGAGAGGCGTGTCTGAGGCCTCATTTGGGAATGTTGTGGTGGGTACATTGGACTTTGCTTTGAGGTAGGAAAATAGGAGATAGAGAGGGCCTTTTGGTGCTGGTAAAGGTGTCAGATGGATGTGAAGAATGGTGACCTTCATGCATGGTACGAGCTGGCTAGCCTAGTTGAAGATTTTCACTTCCTTTTTTCATCTTGAAGGGTTTCTGTCCACCTCATCTTTCCCCTTGAAAAATGTCCTAAGCATTTGACTGCAGACTCTTCTATGGTGAACCTGTGCTTTGCTCCTTTTACTGAAGCAGTGCTGTCGTGGAAAAGACAATTCAATGTTAAATTGTCCAGAAAGAGGATGTCAGATTTTTGTTAACCAAGGCACTCCTCAAAGAAGGGGGGA